AATATACTTCCGTGACGCGAAGCTGAAATTACATATAAAAAGATCGAGTGCCTACATAATTTTCAATTTATATTTGTTTCACAAGACTTCGTAACATCGGGTCGCTGTTACAAGGTTCCTTGTTAATCTCCGTTATAGTGCTTGCTTTACGTACAAATTTACAGAGTAAAAGAATTCTTACCGTAACCGTCTCGTGTGAGACAAACCTTAGCCACGATGGGACAAAGAAAATGGAGTTTCGTATAAGAGAACAAAATGCACAAAACGTGTTGTACCTTCCTTTTGCGCAAGAAACAAATAAAAAAAAAAGATGAAGAACCTATTTAATCGAAAGTTTCCACCGAACACAGAAAGCACACGAGAAATATATGTACATTGTATACATTAATTTATAGTATACTTTACAATTATGCGAACGTTGCATTATCTGTCTGTTTGTTCTACACAGGCCAAATGTATTATTATATCCGATGGAATATTACATTCGAAAATGTATACGTATATGTATATGTATATATTAAAAGAAAGAAATATATATATATATATACATATATAAAAATTACAAAAGTGTTTTTATCCCCTTTAATATATTTTATCGACGTCTGTTTGGTGAATTGTAGTCGATTAATAATAACCGTAACACTATTCCTTGTTGTAGGTTAAGTATGTCATACCTTATACGTTAAATATTCATGAAATTCAAGAGATTTCTTTTCGTCACTATTAGCAATGGAACACTGAAACTTTTTACTTCTATGACTCTATATTCAGAAAATAAAAATATCTTACGTCGTATAAAAAGCAAAGGCGAGAGGGCAAAGTGTAGCAAGTAGTATTCTAAAACTTCATTTTAATTGCAAATTATGAATTACAATCTTCAAATGAATATATCCGAAATTAGAGAATCTTGAAAACTGAAAAAGTGTTAAAAGAGTAAGAAAAATTAGGAAATCATCATCATAATATAATAGTTAAAACATGACTGTCGATGATTTTTAAAGTTACGGATTTCAATTTCATCCGTATTGTCCCTTTCTTCCTCAGGATTCTACTTGTATGAATATTTTATGTAATTGTTAAAAAGTATCATATAGTATGATAAAATTATATAGAATTCATAACAATGGAAGAACAAACTTTGCGTGTTTAAAAAAAAGGGCAATTTTTATGATCCAATGTATATTAAAGATGAGGGTATAATATAAAGTAACAGTTTTATTTCATTTAATATACAGTACATTCATATGGATGTTATGATCGCCTTAAAATTAATTTACGCAATTATATATAACATCAAAGTAAGACGAAAATCAAGGGCGACGGAATTGCAGTTTTGAAAAAATCTGTTTGATCTATGACAATCCACTGATAGCGGCGCACGCAACTCAGGTCAGTAGTAACATTTTTTAAAATACAATTAAATAGCGTCTACTCTGAATAACAGCACAGTGTTATATATATAACAAACGATTTTGTAACCTTATTGTACAAGGTACTTTTATAACACGCTATTGGATTATACCTTTTGATATTATAGTAAACAAATTTGTATAATATTTTGCATCTCATTGTTAATAATAACGTCTTAATATACTTTTCACAAACAAATAGTAGCTTGTGTGATATTCTTGGAAATATGGAATAAGCCTGAAAAGAGTTTCGGCTATTATTGCAAGCTCGAAGACAATATTGTAATAATAATATAATAGTGAAATTTTAAAAATTTTGGGAGACCTAAAAGTTCCTTAACAAAATAATTAAACGAACAATACCCACAGAAGAACATTCTGAACGATATGTTTGCATTTTCTGAAAGTAAATAATAAAATTGAAAAATAAATGATAAATCTCTTTCAGCATAAAATCTGTTTAAATTTAATGTAATTTCATAAGTTAACACATTTCGCACGGTTAAATTAATGTCTTCCTGAATTTTTTTTTAATGTAGTCAACAAGCACCTTAAACGCGTTAAACTTATTTCATGTCTTACTAAAATGAAAGGAATTTTTATTTTCATCTGTCATCAGTTTTAAATGCACATCACATTTTTATATTTTTATAGCATTTTAACTATCCTACTTGTATTTCCAGTCAAGAAACCCGTTTAATACAAACAAAACAAACAACGTAGTTTGCTACTTAGTTTCTACTTAAAAATAATAAAAGTATTTTATATTAAAATTAACGAAGATTTACCAGGTTAGATAAACATTATTTCTCTACCAATGCCTTTGCTTCTGTACGCTGCAACCAATATATAAAACTCAATACGCAATATTTTTAATCTTGATTTTCGTCTTATATTATCATAGAGAATCATCTCTTAAAGTTTCTCCCATCCGTTGTCAATACATACAATAATATAATACAATAGCTATAGTAATATATATATAATTTTAACAATACTCCTTGAAAGACGAATTTTCAATTTTCAATTATTCAATTGCCAACTGTCGGCGCTAACACAGCCTCAACTTACAAAATGTTAAAGAACTTCTCAGTTTCTATTTACGTAAAGTACATTTTATTTCGAGTAGTATTGTATTTACACAAGGATAATTAAAAAAGGAAAAGGAAAAATTAATTTCTGTTTATAAAATGGAAATCGATAGGTAGCTAAGATAATGTGACGAGAGCGAAAACTTTAAAGAGATTTCATTGTAGCCAAAATCAAATGAGATAAAAATAAACATCGGGTAAAACGCCAACTACGATTTGAAGTGCGCGCTTCACAGCGTTCGAATTCGTACATAATTGGAAGCTACATAATTTTTTGAATGAATTTATTTTTAATAGCATCGCGTCATCTAAGCATTACTTTGTAACTTAAATTTTTTAACAGATATTACAAATATCCTGATTGTACGTAATATAAAGTAGGAAGTGTTAAATAACCAAAAAAATATTATTTTCGGTAATCATTATATGTATACTATGAGACATTTTTTAGCTTCAAAAAAGAATTTAATATACATACTTGTAATAAAAAATTATATGATTAGCTCATATACTTTTATGACTTAACACATATATGTAAGTACATACACTAAATTACAACAGAGAAACAAATAATATCACATATAGTAACTTTCGATAAAATTAATGCGCATGCTCTATAATAGCTCTACATCAGAGGTGTCGAATTGCCTCCCCTTATGCTAGTAACTCTTGATCAACGTTCTCCTACTACTTCTACTTTAGGAGCTACTCGAGACTGTGGTGTATATAAGTACCTATTTGAACAGTTTTATGTAGTGTTCAATACAGATAGGTGAAGGTAAGTATGGAGAGAATAACTCTCCGTGAGGGGAAAGTCACTATAGAGCTCGCGAGCTTCCAATTCGACACCCCTGTTTTACGTGTTCAGATAATCAGATACAAATGATCAGAACGGTATGAAACTTGACAGGCGTTCCTTTCGCATAAAGTACATAAAATCACTGTGCAATTAAACATATAGGTTTTTCACAGTAAGTATTTTATTGAATATTACAAAAGCAGTAATATCAATAATTACTGCATCACGTAAATAATAGATTTTTACGTATGCTTCCACTAAAATTTTTAAGTACAAGGTTCTACTTATAAAAAATACATATATTAGTCAAATACACTTTTCTACTTTACTTGAATATTATAATTAAGCTTTGTAAACATTTAGTTCATTTTATTACATTCTATTGTTAGTTGAAAAAGTTATTTAAAAGAATAAAAACAATGTACTTGAGGTTATGTTATCAAAACAAATTTTGTAAGAAATATTGCTTCAATTTTTGCTAGGTTTTAAAGATCTTTTTTGCAACACACGTAATTTATTTTATAACTTAGACAGATGCCAAGTGTGAAAGATGAATCAGAAGCAGAAGGGGAGGAAATGTCGCATGATAGTAATGAAAGTAATCAGAGTTCCGCATCATGTGACAGTAGTGCAGACCATAGCGACAGCGATGACTCCTCGGAGATGGATGAAGATGAATGTGAAAGACGACGCAATGAATGTATGGAAAACTTAGTAGATTTAGAACGACAATTTACTCTCCTTAAAGAGCAGTAAGTTATTCCCTTTAAGTGATAAATCTTAATTAAAGAAGTGGTTATTCAAATAAAACATATTTTAGTTGTACGGGCATAACATAAAGTTTAAAATAATATTACAGACTTTATCGTGAAAGAATTACTCAAGTAGATACGAAATTAGGAGAAGTTCGAATTGGAAAATCTGAAGAATATTTAATACCCTTGGAACGCTTGAAAGAAAATATGAAAACAAAAACTGAAGTAGCTGGAATACTAAAACAGTACAGGTTACAGAATATACAGAATAAATTTCTAGCAGAGGAGCAAGCTGCGTTACAAAATTTTGAAAGTGAGAAAGAATTTATCTGGGATTGCATTCATAATGATTTACAAGAAAAAATTCGAAGATTAGAAGAAGATAGAAATAATGTTGATATCCATGCTGATTTATGGCTAAATTCAACTGGTAAAAGACGTAGAAATCACACAGAAAGGAGGAGAGCAGTTTCTGTTGCTGGGCCTTATATTGTTTATATGCTTAATGATGCAGATATTCTCGAGGATTGGGCACTAATAAAGAAAAGTCTAAGCAGTCGAAAAACTGAAATAATTTAATACTATGTTTAAATATGAAAGCAGTTATGTCAAAATATTATTAGTAACATGAATGTATTGCTCTTGTTTAAATATTTAAACAATTCGTGAGCAAACATAACATTCATTTTACAATATTGATACTTTCTCTATATTTGTAATGTTTGTATAGAATATCTTTCTATACAACACTTTGATCTCAACAAAACTATTCTAAATTACAACGAAATATGTATGAAAAAATACCATGGTACAATATTTCTGCCTTTCAGTAAATAATTCAAGACCTGATAAATATTAATTATTTATAACTATCGTTATCACAATTTTCGGTTTAAAAAGTTGTACCTAGAAACAATTTCTCATCAGTAGTTTTCATCATGTAGCAAATATAATTTTCATAATATAAATTAATTTCACATATCAAGAAAACTGTTTGCATACAACTATAACTGTTTAAATAATTTAACATTCAATGTAAAATTGATTTAAAATTATTATCCGTAAAATTATTTACATTAAGTTTATTTATAAGAAATTTACTCTAGTGAATTTTTAAAGTGACAGATAGCTTTTTACTTTAAAAAGTATGTACGCCTTTTTGTTAGAAATTTATTTAGGACATTATCTTCCAAAATATATAATAATTCATTTGATTTATAATAATGTTATACCCAATGTACATGTACAAATTGTAACATAATAGTGAAATATATTTCATATTTTTGAATAAATTTAAAAAATATATTTGTTATTCATGTGGAATACATACATCTATGAGCATTATTAACACATCCGTGAATGTGAATGCTATAACATTTATTGTCATTGTGATGCAAAATGATATGGTTGCTATAACATTAAAATTTATAAGTCACTTTAATCCTCAGAGTACTAAAACAATCGCCTGTCTATTTTTGCAGCTCATTAAAATTTTTACTGTTTGCTTGTAACGTGTTAATAAGTGACTGTAAAATTGTATATTTATATAAGTAAGTATTAATAATAATTTCTATTAACCTATATAACAACTATTTATTTTTAAGGAACCACATAGATTTTAACATTACCAAAATAAACCTCAGTTTGAACAAGCTCTTAAATTTAACAGCTTTTACTATGTAAGTATATTCAAAATCGATTAAAAAAGAGCATTAACAACGTTTCTGAAGATAAAATGCCTACAAACATGAAGTTGCAAGTAATACCTAGGTGCAAATTAAGTAAATATAGTATGGGATAGAATACAGCAAGGGTGAATCTAATACCAGTTCATAATTAGTTCATAAACTAACAATGCCTGCTAACATAAAATAAATATCTACTGAATCACAGACACTTGTATAATATACAATTTCTTTTTGATGTGTCATTTTATACATGTTAATATTATATTCTACTTCTTATAGACGTTTATTTAAACGATGACAATTTATATATATTTTCCGTTGTCAACATAAACTTCGTTTTTTATTTTTAATATCTTTTCTTTTTTTTTGCGTTTATTCAAAACAACGCATTCATACACGCTACACCCAATATATGCACGCACATCCATGAAATTTACATCAATTTTAACCTACGCGTCTACATTCTTAAAATTTTTGTTCAGTGTTTTCCAACGTTTCATTTCATCATAATTTATAATAAACTAGTATTTGAAATAAAATTTTAAATTTCCATAATCAATAGCTAGTACTTATATACTAACAAACGCTCTTTCAACTAGAAAAATTTCTTCTTACAATTAGCTGTGAATCCAATTTCCGCGCTAAAATAATAGTTGTCGAAAACATGAAGAATGCAAAGTATAGAAAGTAAATCGTACTGAAACTTATCCTCAACCGGCAACGAAGATGTCATCATTACGTAACTTTCATTATTTAATCTTCAGAAATTCAAGACTATTTAAAAAACAAGATAAGTTAGTTCTTCGAAATCATATAAAGCTTTAACATTTCCGATAATAACCTACGACAGGGAACTTTAATTTTACCGCTTTTGTGATCGCACTCACACGTGAAGATATTAAAATCGATAAAGAGAGTTTGCGATTCGGGGTCAATTGTAGGACAGCACATCCATTCTGTTTCGAACACTCCGAGTGGATTGTCACGCGTTGCATTAGGTGAGCAATTTCTTTCAAATTTTGTTCAGTAATTATAAAAATTGCTTTTACAAGAATTATTTAGTGCTATAAAAGATACCAAATTTGCGTTTATAAGTTTTCGGTAGTGATTTTTTTCAGGATTATAAAACAAATGATCTTAATACGTGCTGCGAGTGTTAAGTGTCGAAATTTTACTGCAAGGTCATTATACGTGATATTTCGAGCATATCACAATTAATTTTTAAAAATGTCACACCTTTAAATAAGGCGATCATTTATTCTATTTCATATTCTTAAATATTTCCTCCAGTGACCTTGTCAAGGTCAAATACTTTTCTGTACATAAAACTTAAGTCTAATTACCGGTATTTCAAGTTTCAATCAAATATTTAAAATGTCCATTAGATAATTGTTTAGTACTAATGTTCAAGGTTCAGACAGGTTTAAATTTATTATCAGAAGATTCAACTAATTATAATGATAAATGCGAAAATTATAGTGTTCTCGTTTGTATTAAAAAATGTTTCTGTTTCAGATTTTTGATTTCTAAATACAGTACTAATAGTTATTGTGGAAAAATGCCGATTCAAAGTATTAAAGCAAGACAGATCTATGATTCCCGTGGTAACCCAACCGTAGAGGTGAGATTATGTAAAATATAATAATTTAATGTAATTATATGTTGATTAGTATCTCTATGTTGAAGCAAACGTCTATTTTAATGCAAGACCTTTTAAGATGTATTAATTACTATTATAAATATGCATGAATTTATATTTTATAATGTATGATATTTTTATATTGATAACAAAATGAAATACAGTTTTCTAATTCTTCTTGAACATAATGCCTTTTTCGTAGGTTGATCTTGTAACAGACATGGGTCTGTTCAGAGCAGCAGTTCCTTCAGGTGCATCAACTGGTGTACACGAAGCGTTAGAACTTCGAGATAACGATAAATCAAAGTATCATGGAAAATCTGTTTTTAAAGCTGTAGATAACATCAATAGTGTCATCACACCTGAATTATTGAAGGTAGATTTCAGAACTTACCATGAAATTAATTTAAATTTAATCATAGATATAAGATACAACTTCAACCATAAACAAAAAATAATTAAAAATCAGAGAAATAATAAATAGAAATCTATAATTGATAAATAGCAATATTATATTTACTATACAGGCAAATTTGGAAGTTACCCAACAAACGGACATTGATAATTTCCTATTAAAACTTGATGGTACACCAAACAAATCGAAGCTTGGTGCAAATGCTCTTTTGGGTGTTTCATTGGCAGTATGTAAAGCAGGAGCTGCTAAGAAAGGAATCCCATTGTACAAGTGAGTAAATATAATTAATACTTAACATTTAGCATTAAAATTTACAATTTTCATTCAATTAAGCAAAAATCCATAAAAATTACTATATATATCATTCAAATCATTCTTGTTTGCCATATTTATTTTTCATATTCTTTCAGATATATTGCAGAATTAGCTGGAAATCCCAACATTATTCTACCAGTTCCAGCTTTCAATGTTATTAATGGTGGTTCACATGCAGGAAATAAATTAGCAATGCAAGAATTCATGATTCTGCCTACAGGAGCAGCTAACTTCACAGAAGCAATGAAAATGGGTAGTGAAGTTTACCACCACCTTAAAGCTGGTATTAAAAAGAAGTTTGGACTTGATGCTACTGCAGTTGGTGATGAAGGTGGTTTTGCACCTAACATTTTGGAAAATAAAGAAGCTCTGAATTTAATTATTGATGCTATCAAAGTAAGTATTTTCACATCTTTTTCTTTTTAATAAAATTATTTGAATTGCTGGTACTAAACCACTGTTAATGCAATATCAATAAATATTAATGACAATTAATATAATATACATATCATATAATTAGGTTGCTGGGTATGAAGGTAAAATTAAGATTGGTATGGATGTTGCTGCATCTGAATTCCACAAGAACGGAAAGTACGATTTAGATTTCAAGAATGAAAAGTCTGATCCCAGCACATATTTGGAACCAACGGCCTTAAAGAATTTATATTTAGATTTTGTTAAAGAATTCCCAATTGTTTCGATTGAAGATCCATTTGATCAAGATGATTGGGATTCTTGGACTTCTATGACATCATCTACTCCTATTCAGATTGTTGGTGACGATCTTACTGTAACAAATCCTGAAAGGTAAATTTTCAATTGTATATAAAAATTATAATGATGAAGCAAAAAATTAAATAGGTTAAAACCTTTTTAATTCTGAAGTTTTTTGTAAGTTGTATAATTTTTTATGCCAAATATTTTCGTAGTAAATTATTTCAAAGTATTTTTTATCATGATATGGATATAATTAAAACTATTGTATATGTACATTGCAGAATTAAAACAGCTATCGAAAAGAAAGCTTGCAACTGCCTCCTGTTGAAGGTCAACCAAATAGGTACCGTTACAGAATCTATTAACGCTCATAAACTTGCGAAGAGTGCTGGATGGGGCACCATGGTGTCTCATCGTTCTGGAGAAACAGAAGACACATTCATTGCCGATCTAGTAGTTGGACTTTCGACTGGTCAAATCAAAACTGGTGCACCTTGCCGTTCAGAACGTTTGGCCAAATATAATCAGATTCTTCGTATTGAAGAAGAATTGGGGTCAGCTGCTAAGTTTGCAGGCGAAAAATTCCGTAATCCTCAGGCTTAAAACATTCTACCCTTTTTATCAATGATATAATGAGGTTCTAGTTACATTTATCGTAATACACAATGAAACCTATACTTCAATCACCATCGGAAATTTGTGAATGAAATAGAGTCAAATGATTTTATTATAATCATAGTGTGTCAAATTACAGATATTATAATAGTAGGCTCAGACATGATGACTCATTGTTAAAAATATCAGAAACTTGTATAAGTTACATCGTTAAAAACTCAAATAAACTTATTGGATTCATAATTATTTTTTGCTAATATTATTATAATTAAAAAGTTTAGTGGAGGCAATTTACCAGTGCTTTTAATAAATATCAATTATCAAGATGTATAAATATTGTAAAAACATATATTTTACACGATTTTTTTCTTCAGTATTTTCAATGTTTGGACCATAATGAACAACTTTGTGGAATTAAGTCAGGTCCATTGTTTAAACGAATAAAAGAATAGATAGGCCTGGTATCTGCGAACTTAGAAGCACAAATAGATCATGAATAAAATTTATGATTATTGTTAATTGTTACATGTATGAATGTCATTCATAATGAGGCATGTGGTAAAAGTATCCAAATAATAAGTGTCATTACAAACAAAGTTAATTGTTATTTTCATAAAACTTTAAAAGAGCAGTATAAATCCTGTTGTCACGAGTACATCTGTAAACTCAAACGTATGAATAAAGTATAAACAACCATGTGTTCATAGTAATCTATTGCAGATAATTTCTATCATAGAATTTATAATTACGATAAGTAAAGTAGTATTTCGTTTTCTGTTTCATAATTTCAATAGCTATTTCTATTAAGTTTTGGAGTTATTACATCTTAGATTTACGTTTATTTAAAAAAATTGATATCTTCTACTTCTTAATTACTACGTATTTTATCAGAAATTGTAAAGAAACTTTGGCTATAATAGTTACTGCAGAATATTATTATTATAAAGGTATAAATATTATGGCTGCAGTAAAATCTTTGAATCAAGGACATTTTTGACCGAATTATCTTGCTATAATTTTTTTACGTTTAAAATTATGATTATGAAAGAATAACATAAAACTACTAATCAGATTTCAGTGTCTTTACTAAAATGATAGAGAAAGACGACGTTTTAAGTTTTATTAATCTAAACACTACAACGTTCAAACGTTGGCAAATATTATTTGTCTAGAATTTCCATCGGATATATATTTGTAAACAAAAAGTATATTCATAAATATTCATTGTTAATGCATAATTTCTGCAAAAGACCGCTACTTTTTCGATTTAAATGAAATATATACATACGAAAATTAATTATTAAACGATATGAATCGTAAAGCGTAAAGATCGATTATGCAATCAATAGTTTTAAAGATAATTGTCCAATACAAGACAATATGAATATAAAGAAATTTAAATACGTGTTGGTTCGACTAGTCACACCGAACGAAATACCGGTTTCTTGTAGGATAGGGAAGTGAATCTCTTAAAAAATTACGAATAAAGAAGCTGAAATTATTTAAGAAAAATGATGAGGCTGTTAACACATTAATGCACTAACCTATGTCTTGATACTATTTGATATGAACATGGCAAAACAAAAAATTAGAAAAAGAATAGATAATTGCACCTGATGGGCTAAGTGATCGTTGCTAACATATAAACACGCAGAATGTGAGTGTAAAATCTTAGTCGATTATTCAACAAGCTGACCAATACGTGATGTACAAAAAAATTTGCAGTGAGGCGAGACATGAATACAAATACCAATCTAATTTTAACCTGAAAAAATAATTATTAATATTAGAAATATAGTGTCTTATCGGTGTTAGTATGGACATTTTAGATAATATTACATTTATTAATAAAATATAAGAAAATATTTCTTTTTTCATATGTCAATATGAACTTTCCGTTACCGAAGCTCAAAGTTTAAGCTATCATATGTTTCAAATGCTCGTTCTTTTGAAATATACATTTTTGTCTTCTTTTCTGTCAATTTGATACGGGGTGATAAAAGAAACATCAATAACTTTTAAAATAGATAGTACTCATCAAATACTGTCAAAATTTTAATAAACAACGGTAAAAAAATGATATTTTTAGCAATATTGCAGTATGTAAAATAATAGTGAACACTTTTTGCTATCATTACATTGAATTCTACATATTGCATAGAGATTACAAGAAGTCCTTTGGGAAGAATGAAGGTCTGAGTGGCCAGAATAGAAGAGGCACGGCTTTCCTCGCACGGACAGCCGATTCTGGGCGTACTATTTATTGTCGAGAGTGAATGAGATGTGCCGAGAGCAAGAAAGAGAATACAACATAACGACGAACCTCGAAACATTGGCGTACTCTCAGCTCTTTTACTTTTAACACTCAATCAGCTGATCGACTGCATGTACACATTTACCTAATGCGGACTAGTCTTTGTATTTAAAAGAAAGTTAATAGTGTTTTACTAAAATACTTATAACGGGTTCAATATACAACAGATTTAAATGATTCTATTTTTACATTTTGCTATATAACATGTATAATAATTTCATACATTATACAGCGCCTTCAGTACGCACAAATAAAAACATGTATAATAATTTTTACCTTTAATAATAATTTTGCATGGGGATGAGACTGTGGTTTCGCTAGTAACAGTTCATTGACAGCAACGAAGAACAAATAAAAAGACACTGACAATAGTTAACAAATACCAAATAATGGGTAACAAGGTCGTAGGATTGAACAACACTACGATAAACTAAAAAAAGTGGTAGAAGCCAGGAAGGTGATGGTAGGCGTCAACGTACTGAAGAAAATCTGCGTGGTGGACACACCAAGAAATTGGCCTCCGAAAATTTCGCTTACTCTTCAAGGACAAGAGAGAAAATTTTTCTCTAAAACGTAGAAAGAAACAAGCGCAATGACTAGCATTCTGGAAAACCGATGTTCAAAGCGTTTTACGGTCCCGCGGAACGCGGTTACTTAAATGAAAAAATATTAATTATATATTCAACAACAAACACAAGATATTTATAAAATTAATATGATATTATTACAGTGGATAGAATAATTAGAAACCAATATTGTGCCAATATTGCGACTTACTCGGTATAAGTATGAAAAGGATCAACGTCCTCCGCGTTGTTCACGAGATGAGCCTTGAATGAAATCATTTTATTTCAAATTTCAACAAACCGTTCCCTTCGAGTCAAGGATTTTCGGTTGAGGCTATCAACACTTCAAGAATGGCGTCGATATAGTTTATCCCAAGGATTACGGGCTCGGCCGATTGAGAGAAGTTGGTAAACGCAGAGGCATTTCCTGGAGGAACAGTTGCAAGAGTTGAAACAAAAATTACCTTGCGCGTTAAAACTGCATAGTAGAGTATACTTTTGCGTCATAGTTTCTATCATAATATTTCCTACAAATAAAATTAAATACGTTTTATATGTGCAGAAACAGTCGTAAGACCTACGATGATGTACCCACATAGGTCCCTCATGAAATCGGGGATAATACTACGTGTATTGTATGACGTCAGAACCACCTAAATGGCCGACTTCTCGGAACAGCAGATGTGGGGACTGGCAGTCCTCCCTTAAGACCCCTCTTGCCCCTGCACTGATCGAGTGACTTCTTTTGATCTCATCACAATGCATCAGTATCTGTAAACAACCATAACCATAGTTGCAAGTTCGTCGCTTCGGTAACACTTTACATCAAGTTTCACGTAAGTTATGAATGTAGGTCTCTCACGTATTGGCTAACTATCGACAAGATAAAAGTGTTGAGGGGCAAGAGGAAACGTCCGTTCATTCCACTCCTTCCGCATCAAAATAATTCGGAGACGACTCGTAATACAATGTACATAGTAGTAGATCTTCAATATTCGCGGAGTATCCTGGAAATGAATTTTTATTATGCATATATGAAATATAATTCTAATCAGATATTTTTATTGAAATAAATGTAAGGTATTTTTAGTATACATCTGAATAAAATGATGACGAACTTTACTTAAATTTGTAATTTATAATATTTAATATTTGTATATTTATAATGGGTTAACTTGAAATCATAGCTTACATATATCATCAATAAATGATATTACATATTACATAAGTATGAAGGAGAAAAGAAAATGTACTCATATATATATATGTATATATATAAGAAAACTTTGTGAGTTCCAGGCCTAATTGACATAAACAATGTTTGTTGAAATGCCAAAATAACATTTTTTCTCGGGGGAATAATTCAGTAAACTTCGTGCAATAAAAATTTTATTTCATGTTTGTATTACTATTTTAGTTTTCGAAATATTCATAAAAATATTTTAAAAATTTCGTTGATTTTTGATTTCCATTAGATTTGAGTTAGGTTTAACAATAAAATATGCTAACACTTCCTATTGAACATTATACTGCTTCATTATTAATAAACATAAATATTCGTGTATCGGAATCATGTTACTATACAAAATTCAGTTATACAAGCATCACGATTTCAATATACGAATAGTTAGATTTCAATATACGGCTGAAATTTGTTTCATTTCGTTTAACAATAACTTGAAACAAAAATACACTACACAAGCTCAGGGTGCAAACAGCGCACATAGCGTTTATTACACATGATTGTTATTTTCTAAAAGTTCGTGTGCATATGTGAATGAAAACATTTAGGATCGCCGTATTCGAATTTCATCGAACTGTCTCCTTCAAGCCAGACTGGTGCTGCCAGGAACGGCGTAGATATTGTTTACATATTTTCCTTCTCAAGATTGTTGGCACACTACTAACAAGTTAAAAAGTGACAGAGGCAAGGGGATTTTTCCACTTACGACGTTTGGGTCCGCTCGGGCTTTGATGGGGCGATCGTTATTGGCCACGCGGCAATGACAAAGCACGGACACAAAACCGAATACTATGAAGTAAGATACAGCGAACATTGGCGTCGGAATTCGTTTCATCACGGTAGCGGCGTCTTATGTTTATAAAATCTCTGGGATATGGTGGTTCGACTATGTTTCTTAGAAGAACTGGGTGGAGCGTGTGGTGATTCCCCTTGCCCTGTGTATTTTTTAGCTGGTGTGAAGTACGCCGCACTCCTGAACTGGAGAATGCTAAGGATGGCCAAAGAAGTGACATTTGTGAAGAAACAGTTGGAGTAAACGGATCGAGTACACCGCAAACCTTAAAATATAAAAGTGCACATTCGTGCTATAGTTTTGTTGTTATGAGTGCGTGTGTGTATGTGTAGTAATAAATGTGTACCTAGTTTACTTTTATTTGCATATTTATATTTACATATACTTAAAGTGCACTGTACTTTATTTTGTATATAATTGTAGAAAATGGAAACATCAAGACAAGGGCAAAAGATTCATAGCCAAGCACGAACCATAGTGAAAAGGGTAAAACAGAAATGCGAAGAGGAAACATTAAAGGGTGATTTGTTACACCCATTACATAGTCCAAATATTCGAGTAGCAGAGTATACTGGATTATCTGTACGCACAATTTGTAGAATCAAGAATGAAACATCTAATTCAGAAGGAGTTGTTTCATCACCCGGAAAGAAACGATTAAAAGATGCTGAACCTGAGTTCCACTGTACTGAAAAAGATAAAATGTTAATAAGAGATACCATTTATAAGATTTATAAGCGGGGAAGAGTTGTGACATGTGGCCCGAAATTACTGAAAGAAATCCGTGAACAAATGAATTTCCCGTGGGATGTTGTCATTTTACGTAAATTATTGAAAAGCATGGGATATGAATGGAAAAAATATAACACTTGGAAAAGGATATTAATTGAGAAACCAAGGATAGTGGCCTGGAGGGGTAATTATTTAAAAGCAGTACAATCTCATAGGATGGAAAATAGGAATATTATTTATATTGACGAAATATGGGTAAACAATACTCTGAATTTTGGGAAGTATTGGCAGAGTGAAGAAGAATTCGGGGTATCGAAAAATACTAGTTCATCGGAACGGGTAATAATCGTGCATGCCGGAGGACAAAACGGATTTGTCCCCAATGCAGGATTAATTTTTAAAACTGATAGTGCCACTAGCGATTACTATGGGCAAATGGATGCTGTGAATTTTGAAAGCTGGGTTGTAGAATTATTAGTGCCAAATATTCCACCGAATACGGTGGTGGTAATGGATAGTGCGCCGTATCATTCTGTTGAGATGAATAAAGCACCTAACAAATACGCAAAAAAAACTGACATGCTAAGTTGGCTTGAACAGAATAATCTTCCACATAAAGAAAAGATGAAGAAGTATGAACTAGCGGAATTAATAGCTCGACATAAACCAGCAAAAAAAACATACAAGGTAGACGAAATATTAAAATCGTATGGACATTCCATTTTACGATTACCGCCTAATATGCGCGAATTAAATCCAATTGAACAAGCCTGGGTAAAGATAAAACGAGCAATCAGCGAAAACAATATTTTTTCAACGTTAACATTAGATGAATTACAGTCTTTATTGCCAGAAGCAATAGATAGTGTAACAGCAAGTGATTGGGCAGAATTCTGCAAACATTCTGAACAAATTGAAAAGGAATATATAGATAAAGATAATTTATTAGAAGTAGCCATGGAAAATGTAGTATTAACTCATTCAGATTCAGAAAATGATGATGATAGCAGCAGTTCAGATGATTTCTAGAAAGAGATAGTGTAAACAGTTCTATTTAACTTTAATATTGATTTTTAACTATTGTATCTGTAGTATGAATCTTCTGAAGAAGTCATCACTGGCTTTGTCATTGTATTCTGAATTTGTATTTTCAAACATAAGCTATCCATGGTGGGTTTCAATAAAGTATCATTTTACAAATAATTCTTCAACCCATTTGATATTTTTAAAAATTTATGTTCTTAATTGTAATTTCATCTTTTGTTGCTTTCTTTAGTGTTTGTAGTTCTTTAAATAATGACTTGGAAAGTAATTTTCATATTTTTTTGTTTATGTTCACTTAAAGGAATTTAATAGGTAATACACATATATGGTGGTAATCTATAACTGTCGTATTTGATTATTGTTTTGTCTATTTTATTGGTTTCTCTTATATGTTGTGCTATTTTTGTTATTTATAATATGATTCATATTTTGTTAATAATTTTGAACGTGTTGTGTTATTTTGATCAACTCAATATTTTTTGTTGAAATATTTTAATGGTGGTTTAATTGTTTATATGGAATGATATGGAAATATGGTAATTACTGTCAATCTATTTGGTAATGACTTGGTAATAATTTTTCTAATATCTCTTTTTATTAATTCTTAATATTCTTCATCTGTGTTTCTTACCAACATGAACAATTATAAGCTAAAAAAAGAGCTTGCATTTTACAATTCACCAATCATTTCATCACCTTTCCAACATGTTCAAAAACATTGTATATCATTGAACCATATTTAGTAGATATAAATAATATTTTGATATTTTCTTCTGTGATGTTCAGTCGCATTTAAATATTTCTCCCTCTTTCCATCACTTTATTAAATGTGGATAATTTTCATAAGAAAATAATTTTCTCAAGGATAGCAATAAAAATTATTGAGATACTTAGCACAATCTTTCTTAAATATATAATTTAACAAGAGTGCTTCTTATTATCATCTCCAAAGCAGTGAAATCATCTTGTAATACTTTTTAATTGTTATTCCATATCAATGGAACTTTTCTTCTTGCACGAGACTTTGTTTTGTTTCTGTTAAGTGATGCTACAAATATCCAGTATATCAGCAGCATGGATGTTCAGTTTATCTATTGGGTGAAGTTAATATATTTCTGTCTGTGTCCTCATCAAGTTTCTGTAATTCTTTTTCACCATGGGTAATGCTTGGTTATGAGCTAATTGTGCCTTTTTATGTGTATGTAACTTTTTGTTATGCTTAATGTATGACATATGTTTAATAATGTAATGCAAAACTTATTGCTACACTTAAATGGCACTCATATTTTAATTACATTAAATTATAATAAATACTACATAAACTAAAAGTGTACTGTTTACATATAAAAGTAAGTAGAACAATTTTGTTTTAATAATATTAAATTTAAGAAAACAATTGCAGCCATACTAATAGAAATGAAAATCTTTACAGGTATCTCCAAAACTCAAAATGAGAGGTAAATACTAAAACTATACAATGGAGAAATGCTCAACAATGTCTAAGTAGACTGTTTTTAAAAAACTGTTTTTTGAAAATTATGATAATTTTCGAGGACTTATTTACCTGTTCCTGACGTGAAACAGACTCTTCTTTATATGTAAAGTAAATTTACCAATTTTGTTTTAATAGTATTAAATGTAAGAAAATAATTGCAGCCATACTAATAGAAATGAAAACTTACAGATATCTACGAAACTCAAAATGGGGATAAAATTATGCAATGAAAGAACCAGATAGTGTTGTCCAAGTAAACTGCATTCAAGAACGTTGCAGAGTATGAAGGAAAAATTGTGATTGGCATGGATTTTGCTGTGTCTGAATTCCACAAGAATGGAAAATCTAACTCCAGCATGTGTATAGATCCACAGACCTTAAAGAATTCCCAATTGTTTCGATTGAAGATCCATTTAATCAAGATGATTGGGATTGATGGACTTCTATGACATTATTTATTCCTATTCAGGTTGCTAGTGACAATCCTGCTGTGACAAATCCAGAAAGGTAAATTTTCAATTGCATATAAAAATTATAATGATAAATTAAAAGGCTAAATTCCTTTTTAATGCTGAAATTTCTTGAAAATAGTATAGGTTTTTATGCCAAATATGTTCGTAATAAATTATACATTGCAGAATTAAAACAGCTATCGAAAAGAAAGCTTGCAACTGCCTCCTGTTGAAGGTCAACCAAATAGGTACTGTTGCTGAATCTATTAATACTCATAAACTTGCGAAGAGTGTTGGATGGGGCACCAGGGTGTCTCACCGTTCCGGAGAAACAGAAGATACATTCATTGCCGATCTAGTAATTGGATTTTCAACTGGTCAAATAAAAA